GTTAGAAAGCATGCCATCAATACCTGTTACAGGGACAACGTCAGTGCACTTCCGAGATTTATAGCAATAAACCCGCAATAAGCTATCTTGCCTTGCCACTTGGGTAGGGGAGTTCTTTAGGTCCGTGACACTCTGCCTCCTTGAATATCGGATAGTCATATTGATTATTCTGTAATTTTCTATGTCATTTAGCTTGTATAAATTGGACTATAATCTGATGTTTTAGTAAGGTATTGAAATAAAACTTTCTAAGATTAAGTATTTAGCTTTCGTGCTTTCAAATTGTTATCAGAACCTACAAAAAAAATAAAAAATAAAAAATTACAAAAATTGTGATCTGAATACAGTAGCAGCAACAGATTTTGGAAAGGAAAAGTCGTAGCAAATTCAAATAATCTGGTTTCTCTTATTCCTCGTTTTAATGGGGAAGATTATGATTATTGGAGCCAAAATATAAAAGTTTTGTTGAAATCATTGAAGTTGTGGAGCATTTTCGACGAAGGTTTTGAAGAACCAGAGGCTAAAGATGGATTGACTCAAGTACAGAAAAATGTTTTAAATGAGAGGAGAGAAAAAGACAACAAAGCTCTTTTCTATATTTACCAATTGATTGAAACATCAGTGTTTGAACGAATCTCAATGGGGGAAACTTCAAAGCAAGCTTGGGAGATTTTACAAACTGGACATCATGGAGAAGAGAAAGTAAAAAAGGTACGTTTGCAGTGTTTCAGGTTAGAATTTGACAAACTTGAGATGAAAGAAGGAGAAAATATGTCAGATTATTTTTACAAGGGTGACCTCTATAGTAAATCAAATGTCATTCAATGGTGAAATTTTAGAAGATCAAAAAGTTGAGGAGAAAATTCTTTGAAGTTTGCCACAGAAGTTCAACTTCATAGCAGCTGCTATTGAAGAATTTAAGGACTTGTCATCGCTTACATTAGATGATTTACTAGCATATTTAAAATCACATGAATTGCGATTAAAGCACAGGAATCCTTCTTCCCCCGAACAAGCTCTTAAATCTCAAATTTAGGAGGCCTTGGCTCAAATAATTTTAGTAGAGAAGGTGAGAGAAGTGGAAAATCTGAAGGTCAAGGAAGAGGCTACAATACTTGTGGAAGAGGAAGAGGATTTCAAAGTGGTAGAGATTCTAACGAAGAAGAAAAAGATGACTATACAAAAAAATTCTCAACGGGGACGAGGCCGAGGATGTCAATAAAGAGGTAAAAAGAATACATTGAATCCTATAATTGCTATGACCTGGACACAAAAGCAATGATGGTTGGTATTAGCAAAAGGAATACATTGTGTGAAGTAAAACCTCCAGTTACACCAAGGAATACCGGGCTCAGAATTGTCAATCAACACCACAATAAGAAAACCCAAACCAAAGCCACGAGCCAAACGGTTGCTCTATGTTTCTGCCCACAAAGGGAACTTTGAATGGAGAGTATTATAGCCACAGGTTTGCCACAAAGGCGAAAGAGAGGAAGAAGAAATAGTAGCACACAGTAACTTCGAAGAGCAGGAAGCACAAAGCTAAGATCGCCGTTTTTCTCTCAAGAAGGGCTATCAAATAATTCTCTAAGAAAGCAACAGTAACGAGCATAGGATATAAATATGAATTGGGTATGATTTTAGGTTAAGCCCAATAGGGAATGATAAGGCTCAAATAAGGACAATAAGTGGGCTGTCAACATATAAGAACCATCCAAGTTTGGGCTGGGCCATGAGCAGCACTAATTAAGATTAGGCTGCTTCCAATGACACAACTCGGATATAGGGTTGGTTTACCAAATTGTGGTGTCGATATAACTTCAGTCTTATGGTCTAAGCCGACTGAAC